CCGCCCCCCCCCCCCCCCCCTCCACTAAATTTGCCCCACCCCTTCCTGTTTTAGATTTTTTTGCGTAACCTGTCAGTCGCTGCATACAGCGCACATGCTGTATCCAGCTTTTGACATCTTCCGCTATTAGCGTAGCAGAAAGGCTGGGGTCTCAGGTGGGCTCTGCAGGGTCTCAGGTGGGCTCTGCAGGGTCTCAGGTGTGCTATGCGGGATCTGTGGTGGGTTCTGAGGGGTCTATGGTGGGCTCTGCAGGATATGTGGTGAGCTTTGCAGGATATTTGGTGGGCTCTGCTGGGTCTATGGTGGGCTCTGTGGGGTCTATGGTGGACTGTAAAGGATCTCTGGTGGGCTCTGCAGGGTCTCAGACTGCAAAGCCCACCATAGACCCCGCACTGCCCACCTGAGAACCTGCAGAGCCCACCATAGACCCTGCAGAGCCCACCACAGATTCTGCAAAGCCCCCCTGAGACCCTGCAGAGCCCACCACATATCCTGCACAGCCCCCCTGAGACCCTGCGGAGCCCACCATAGACCCCACAGAGCCCACCACAGATTCTGCAAAGCCCCCCTGAGACCCTGCAGAGCCCACCACATATCCTGCACAGCCGCCCTGAGACCCTGCAGACCGCAGGGTAGATAGGTCAGAACCAGCAACCATAATAGAAGCTTGTCATGTGTATAGCAGAATGCAGAACTGGTTTATAGGACTTATGGGAGTTTTAAAGGAGATTGTAAATTACTTAGAGATGATGTTTCTATAAAACTGATATTCCTGTTTATTTACAGTATACAGTATACATCAGTTACACCTATAGCTGATATTAAATAATAAAATCTATAGCAACATTTAAAGGCTTTGCCAGTTCAACCCCTCTTATTTTTATATAGTCTGCCAATTGCACGCATGTTGCATCATACTTGAACGGTAGATCATTATCTTTCAACAAAATACATGCAGCAGAAAAGGTAGTTAGGCGTACTTAAGTTGTGTTCCATATGTTTTGCATGTAATTGCACCTCAGTTTCCATAGAGATCACACGTCAGCTTTTAGACTTTATGGAGATAGTGTCATGTTTGCTCATAGTCAGACCAGTGTCGTAATTTTACAGCAACATTCCTTTTATTCTGCGCTACTCTCTACAGACTTCTACATGCTGATCAAACAAATCTATGTTGGGGTTTCAGAAATTTCAACTGTTCCAGACTGGGCAAGGCTGGGGTTATTACAAACACTATTGAAGAAATGTTTTGTTTGCAGAAGAGAGTTGGTGGACAGAATAGGCTATGACAGCGTATACATTGTGCTGACAGTGTGTGTAATACACAGTTGGGGAACTAGTGCAATTCTAGAGGATAGCATAGGATACATATCGTTTTCTACAATTTTTTTTTTGTGCTGCGATATGTTCTCTTTATGGGTATACTGAGGTATCTGTTAGACCCCTGATGCCACCTTTATGTCCATTAGGTATACGTCCGGGACAGACAGTTTCCAATCTGCAGCTAAGACAGCTCAGAGCACTGGCAAACTATAGCTAAGAATCCAAACGCGCTCAGTGTGGAGGGTTGAGTGTGTGAAGAGAAGATTGTTGAACTGGAAATCACCAATCTCCTCCAGATTGGCATCCTGAGTGCAATGATTGACGTCTTTGGCTTACATTCCTCCTTTGGGACCCAGGGACTTCCAAAGAGATGAAAGTGAACCTGTGACTTCAGCCAGCACATGTAGATGGAGTTCACCAATCTCCTCTGCTCACATTGAACCTCTGGAAGTGCTCAGCACTGAGCATTTCTGGGGGGTCTTTTCAGCTTAAGTGTGCCAGTGCTCTTAGCCATCTCGTCCTTCTTCTGGATCTCTCTTAACTCCAGCACCAGAAGTCCAAGGCAACCACAGATGGCAGTGGAGTCAGGATTGTATGGCTAATACTAGAAGGTTAAAGGGAGATCAGGTATAAATCAGAAGGGTGGAGGGGATATGATCAGAACATTTGTGAAGGAACAATATGTGTAATGGTGATTAGTGCAGTAAATGCAGGGGCAAGAGATGCTGACATTAATGGGTACCACAGATGAGAGGGATGGGGCAAAGAGGTGATGGAAAGGTAAAAACAGGGTGGGGGAAACTGCAAGAGTACAGGAGAAGGTGTGGAAGAAGTGGCAGTAAGGCAATTGTATGGTATATCTACTCTGCTTTGTACTACTGAAGCCGACAACATGCATGTACAAGTAATTAATTTCAAGTTTTGATTCGCACAGCATTTACTTATTCTGCATTCTAAAAATTATTGAAACAAACTTGGATCGTGCACTCCTAAATGACTGCAATTATAGCTGTATGTCTGTATTGTGCTATTATAAAAATGCATCAAGTTATAAGGAGATACAGACATTTTGTTTATTAAGATGCCATCATATCATAAGTTGGATGCCAACTAGCACAGGATTACCCAAGAGACCTTTAATTGTGGTAAACTCCATCCAGTGTTTGGAGAACAGTGTATAACTGGCATTTCCTTGAGGCAAACTAAAATCCCTCTAAAGCAATATTTTCTAAGTTTAAATGTATCCCTCATCGTGCTCCTCTTGTGTCAGTGGCGAAGCTACCAAGGTGAGAGCCACGGTACAAAAGTTGGACCTGGATTCCTGCATGCTGGCCACTT